GAGGTGCATTTTCCGCAGTCTTTCTTCATAACTCATGCCTCTTAGTTCTGGGACTAGTCTAGTGGCATACCTCTGAACTTTTTCCAGCTTCGTCTTGTGCTTGACAAGGTACGGGCTCCATGCTGGGGCCGCATACTCCAGGATTGGTCTTACATATGTGGTATACAAGATTTTGAATGATTCCTTACACAGGTTCCTGAAGGCTGTTCTGATGGTAGCCAGCCTCGCATACGCCGCAGATGTTATTCTTTTGATGTGGGCTTCAGGAGACAGGTTTGGTGTGATATCTACTCCTAGATCCTTCACTCTGTCCATTACATGAAGGATTTCATCTCCCATTCGGTATCCTGTGTCTGGCCTCCTGTTTCCACCGTCTAGTTTCATTACTTTACATTTACTTGGGTTGAACTTTAGTAACCATTTGTTGGACCATTCCTTCAGTTTGTCTCGGTCATCTTGTAGGTTCCTACTATCTTCCTCTGTCTTAATTCTCCTCATAATCTTTGCATCATCAACAATGAGAGGAACGAGTCTATACCCTCTGGGAGATCATTTACATACATCAGAAACAGTAAAGGTTTGTGTGTGTGTGTGTGTGTGTGTGTGTGTGTGTGTGTGTGTGTGTGTGTGTGTGTGTGTGTGTGTGTGTGTGTGTGTTTGGGGGGGGGGGAGCTACTTACAGTTGACGTGGTTAAGAACTATTGCTGGCGATCTTTGGAGAGAGAAGTATCGTATGCATCAGTTCATTATTATAAGGTGGTGTTGGTGTCCTTGTGCTCCAGGCTGGCGTGCTGCCTCCGCGCCCTCAGGCTCCTCACGTTCTTTCCGCTGTTCCATTAGTCTTACCAATGTCAATTTTTTTCTATCTCTACAATTTTTTATATCTTCCTGACCTTTGACATATTTAAAAAATAGTAATTTTAATAAATTCCACACACACACACACACACACACACACACACACACACACACACACACACACACACACACACTCACTCACTCACTCACTCACTCCTATGGGGTCTGGTAGCTGAGTGGACAGCGCACAGGACTCGTAATTCTGTGGCCCGGGTTCGATTCCCGGACCAGGCAGAAACAAATGGACAAAGTTTCCCTCACCCTGATGCCCCTGGTACCTAGCAGTAAATAGGTACCTGGGAGTTAGTCAGCTGTTACGGAGCTACTTCCTGTGTGTGTGTATGGGGGGGGGGGGGAGGGGGTAGTTAGTAACAGTTGATTGACAGTTGAGAGGCGGGCCGAAAGAGCAGAGCTCAACCCCCGCAAGCATAACTAGGTGAATACACACACACACACACACACACACACACACACACACACATATATATATATATATATATATATATATATATATATATATATATATATATATATATATATATATATATATATAATATGTACGTAGTTAGTAAATGGAATACATTAGGCAGTGATGTAGTGGAGGCTGACTCCATACACAGTTTCAAACGTAGATATGATTGAGCTCGACAAGTTCAGGAATCTGTACACCAGTAGATTGACGGTTGAGAGGCGGGACCAAAGAGCCGAAGCTCAACCCCCACACACAGAGGGATAAGGGTTCATTGCTGAGTGGATAGCGCTCAGAGATCTTTTATACATACATTGGGGTCTTTCCTTCACTTTCATTATGTCCATTTCGCGAGCCGCTGCCATTCTCTGGTACGATAGTTTTTGGTCTTAGAATATACGTCAAAATGTGACGCACATGCGCGCGCGTTCGACCTTTCTCTCATTATCACAGTTAAAGTAGCTAGAAAAGCTAAAAAAAAACAAAACTATTTTCATTGTTTATTTTTTTATTTTCCTTTTATTCCATGTACTTACCCGCTATTTTCATAATTAACTTTCACTACATCCGGGACTTGAGTTAATTCTATTCTGCTTTCATTTTACTGCTCTATTTGTGCACTGCATTTTCCGCAGTTGTAGGTTTTTATCGTCTCCGTGATTTGTCTCGCTATTTGTTGTGTTTTGTTGTTCCATTGTCCACTCTCTCTCTCTCAAGACGCGGGACACTTCCTCCTTCCCATGTATTACCGTGGCGCTCACTGGCCCTTGGTGTTGTGACTCCGGGGGGGGGGGGGGGGGGGGGGGGGGCACACGCAGCTAGATGGTGCTTTGTCTATTATGGCCTAGCCATGTTTGAAAGCCAGCTATGTGGCTGTTGGTGCCACATGACTAATATATATATATATATATATATATATATATATATATATATATATATATATATATATATATATATATATATATATATATCCATAGACACAAATACATATACATATCAATAATCTTTTTATATCACAAGTGATTCATTCAACAAGAGGCTCACAACAGTCACTATACAAGGCACTTTACATGTATGATGAGTCAAACAGTTACTAGTCTTGCTCCACACCCACCCAACTGGGCGGCAGCTTTACAGTCATGTGCAGGCTGCACCTACAGTATACAAATCTTGGATACTTGGTAAAGATTCCTGGCAGTACATCATTATGAATGAAGTACTTACACATTTCTTGGACTCCATTGATAGTGCTGTCTCTGAATTCCACGATTTCATCACATTCCTTATGCTCATTACAACCAACGTACGTGTTAAATTATTTATTACAACACAATATACATTAATATGCACCCTCTGTACTCATTACACTCCTATACTGATTACGTCAAATTTTTCTTATGATATTCTGTTATCATTACGACCCCTTGTGCATGTTCCACTCCTTGATCTGTTTGGCGTATGGATGTGTCGATAGAACCTTCACGTGGAACAATGTGGCGGCCACACCACCAGGTGGAACAATGAGGCGGCCACACCGCCAGGTGGAACAATGAGGCGGCCACACCGCCAGGTGGAACAATGAGGCGGCCACACCGCCAGGTGGAACAATGAGGCGGCCACACCGCCAGGTGGAACAATGAGGCGGCCACACCGCCAGGTGGAACAATGAGGCGGCCACACCGCCAGGTGGAACAATGAGGCGGCCACACCGCCAGGTGGAACAATGAGGCACACAGCCCCTGCCACAAAGACAAGCCTGGTCTCAGATCAGTGGCTCACGCCTGGCCAGACTCCCCAAAACAAAGGCCAGCTCGTATGACTGAGTGGAAAGTTAGGTAAATAAATGCTGGAACTAGTGAAAGATTTTAAGGTTGATGTGTTAGATATACGTGAGACGGAGCCTAAATAAAGAATGGAATGAAATAAATATTACAAAAAGAAAGATGAAACAAAATGAGATTATATGATAACGCAGTTTTCAATGACTTACACAATGCGAAAAGGATTCCTCCACTTTGCAGTGACAGTCGGCACAATTGTCCGCAAAGATTCCTGGAGCTCTATAGATTGAATCCCTTTGTCCACGTGAGCCAATCCCAGCTCCCGGGGTGAATTGCTGGCTCCTCTCTGATTGGCTCTTGCACATAAGCCCCTAAACCATCCTAATTCTAAGCTAATAAAAGTGTCACTCCTACAGGATATTGTTCTAGATGTTACAAGAGCTGTTAGTTCGACTTTAAGAGTGGTAATAAGCACTAAGGCGCAATAGGCTACACAACACCGTGTACTCATTACACAACACTCTTGTACCCACGAAGTACTTTGTGTTCGTTAAGTACCCAGTACTCACTAGTCGCACCGCACCCGACGTACCCATTGGACCTCCTGTAGTCATGTAACCCCTGTACTTATTGAACTTCCTTTACCTATTGAGTCCCTTGTACTCCTGTACTTATAGTTCCCATGTACTCCTGCTGTGGGAACCGACCTGTGAGATTTATATTTATTTAATTTATATGAATATATATAGAATTTATATTTACATTAATTTATATACTTCGATAGCAATTTGTATAATGATAAGTGGACTGTATTTCTGCAATAATCTCATAATCTCACAAATCGATCCTCTACACATTAGGGGGGGTTTATATTAATTGAATATATATGCAGCCAATCAAACTACAGTATTAACTACACATAATTAAACATTGAAGAGGTTCCTTATCTTATAGTACAGCAGGCTTTAGTCCACCAGGTATAACTAGGGTGTAGACACCACATTTTCCCTCTTTGAGGTAGCTTCCATCACCCTGGTAACTGATGCACAAAGCATGCTTCCTCGTCTTGACCTGTCAAAAGGGCGCTAACTGTGAAGCCAGAATCCTATATATGACAAGTATTTCAGAGAAACACTGTACATGGAACAATGAAGACCTGGGCTAATTACCTTTAGTTTGAGGCTATATCGTGCTCTAACCGGGTCACCCTATATAATGACATTAATGGCCATAAATGAAAGATAAACGGGTTTCGGAAAGAACACTTAACTTGAATTTGTTGACAGCGTGAGAATGGTACACCTTTGGTTTCCATAACACTTCGTCCAAGTAAAATTAACAGGAGCCGTATTTGCTCCCGTGTGCCTCTGGTCTAATATAAACAATGGCCGCCCCTCCCTCACCCTGACGCCTGGCTTACATTGTCCAGATGACAGAAAGTGATAGAAGGGTCACATTTACTCTACTTTAATATTGATAATTAAGTTAATTTATATGAGATGTTTTTATGATGGTAAAGTCCAAAGACTAATGTATTTAAGAATAATTCCCACCATAATAGGTGGTGAATTATAATATGTGGTAATGATATCCCGTTTTCTATAGACGGTAAATTCCACCTACAAGCTACATTGTCTATGGGTTAACTTGTGTATACAATGGCAGCAATATTATCTGCCTGTATGTAATATTAAATGGTGTCGGATTTTCCGACACCTGCACCACATGTGTACATGGCATCGCATGTAACATGTTTTTGGAATACAGCTTTAAATAAATTAACTTAATTACTTGTTGCCAAAATAGATTATGTAAAACTATTTACCATATATGAATATGTATTTTTATTATATTGCGAATACTCCTTTTGTTCTCTCTCTCTTTCTCTCCAGGGCCTAGTACCTGCGGCCAGATGTGTCTCCTCTCCACCCCCGCCCTCCACACCAGCCACCAGCATCCACCTCTATCCACGCCAGCCACTTCCATCCACACCACAGCATCAGGCGTCGCCCAAGGGACCAGCCTAGTCCCGTGGCAGTGACTGGACTAACCATAAGGTAATTGTCCACAGCGATTTTGTCCTCCATGGACTAGCGTGTGGAGCTTGTGAAGATAGTTTGTCGTGCTTGTGCCCTCTAACAGCCTATGGGAACACCTGGATAAGGGGCGGCGTGTTTACAACACACCGGCAAGGGGCGGCGTGTTTACAACACCACCGGCAAGGGGCGGCGTGTTTACAATACCACCGGCAAGGGGCGGCGTGTTTACAACACCACCGGCAAGGGGCGTCGTGTTTACAACACCACCGGCAAGGGGCGTCGTGTTTACAACACCACCGGCAAGGGGCGTCGTGTTTACAACACCACCGGCAAGGGGCGTCGTGTTTACAACACCACCGGCAAGGGGCGTCGTGTTTACAACACCACCGGCAAGGGGCGTCGTGTTTACAACACCACCGGCAAGGGGCGTCGTGTTTACAACACCACCGGCAAGGGGCGTCGTGTTTACAACACCACCGGCAAGGGGCGTCGTTTTATGCCGTGTGCGGTCCTGCAGTTTCCAGTTGACTCCGGTCAGAGCTTTCCCGCCCGGCTCAAGTTGCTTGAAACATGCACTCCGGCCAGGAATCTGGCTATGACGCAGTGACCTGGTCACTGCCAGGTCTTGTTAACGACGCAATTAGCGAACTGTTAACGATGCAGTGACCTGGTAATGACCTGTTAACGACGCAGTAACCTCACAATGATTCTCACCGACCTATAGTGATTCACGCAGATCTGGTAATAACTCCCATCGACCTGGTAAGGATTTGCACCCAATTAGTTCATGTCGAACTGGCAATGATTCCCATCGACCTGGGAGAACACCTCGAGGTTTTGTCCTGTTCTTCGGCAACATCGTTCCCAGACAATAGGCCCTCTCTTGACACGTTATTTTGTCATTGTTTAGAATCGTAAAAAGTAGTTACATACGCTCTTAAAGCAGAAATACTATTGAAATTGGACGGCAGTTACCAGTCAATCGGAGGATTCGAACACTAGGCACTGCCAAGCACACGTCTAGGACCACTTCACCACATGGTCAATAGCAATGCAACTTGGGATTCAATTGAATCCTCTTAAGAAGCCTGAAGCTTCCACTAAAGCCCAGTCTGGGTTTCACACATTGCCCCCTCCATGCACTTTAGCTGTGGTTCAGGATCGAGTTCCACCTCCAACGCTGCTCTTCAAATGCACAAAGAAATCACACTAACGTGGTCTTAAGGCGTGTGTTTGAGAGTACTCAGCGCGTAACTTCGAATCCTCCTGTTGCCTCATTTTGTAACCATTTATTTTCGGTTACCTTCGTCCTGTTGTCGCCACACAGCAATATATAGAACTTCGACTTCCTTAACGAACATTTCCTGGAAGCCAATGAATAGCACAATAGACGTGTTAGCGTTGGAGAGTTTTGAAGAGAAGGAAATTAGTATGTCGAGCCCAAAAGCTTGGACCAATAAAGTGTTGAGAACCTCCTGAATAAAAATCTGCCCCTATACCATGCGTTGTACATGTCAGTATGTTTTATTATTATAAGCTGAAACTCACTCACTCACACACACACCTCAGGGAGCCGGTGGCCGAGCGGACAGCACACTGGCACGGGATCCTGTGGTCCCGGGTTCGATTCCGGGCGCCGGCGAGAAACGATGGACAGTCTCTTTCACCCGATGCCCCTGTTACCTAGCAGTAAATAGGTATCTGGGAGTTAGTCAGCTGTCACAGGCTGCTTCCTGGGGTGTGTGTGGTGTGGGAAAAAAAATAGTAGTAGTAGAAACAGTTGAGAGGCGGGCCGAAAGAGCAGAGCTCATCCCCCGCAAGAAGAACTTGGTGAACACACACACACACACACACACACACACACACACACACACACACACACACACACACACACACACACACACACACACACACACACACACACATATGACCAAAGAGCCAGAGCTCAACCCCCGCAAGCACAACTAGGTTTGTACACGAGCGTAAGTCTCGTGCTGTAACTACACTAATGGTAATTAGATAACACACTACACACCGAACACATGATACTCACACTCGCCCCGTTACAAAACCGGGGGAGGATTGACTGGGAACCATTCCATAACTCTTCGCCCATATTCACGCAGAAGTAATTGGTTACCTGGTAGTAAAACCAATTAGCGGGTCGTATTCCAGGGAAAACTAGTAGGGTGAGGCTTAACATGGGCTATGGGAAGGGAAAGCTCTCAGCCCAACCTGTCCTCTTTCAAAGAACGTCGCATTTCGTTCGTATGCGTTACTAAGGCCACACTTATATCACAGAAACAAGGTTATCGCGAATAACCGAATTCAATTACGGGCTCACCATAGCCCGTGCTACATGGACACTTCGTTCTGAGTAGTTAAATCTGAAAACAACAACATACTAAGGCCAAAAATTGTTGTAATTGAAAACGGAAGCCGCTCGCCGAAGTGACGTACTGTCCCGTTTTCTGTTTTAGGTCCTCTGGTAGGTTAGGAGAGGACACTTTACACTGGTTGTTTTCTTGACGCTGGAAAACCTTAGGAGGACGGGCTGCTCAGCCACCTAATGAGTCGTTTACTCGTGTACTCACCTGTATAAAAGAGAGAGTATGAGGCAGGGAGGCAGGCGGGCGCCAGGTGTGTGTGTGGGGGGGGGAGGGTGGGGGGGAGAGCAGCAAGGTGAAGCTAGAATGACTGGTTGGTGGATATGGTCGAGGCCGCGTCCTCATCCTTTTACAGGTAGGACACCTGGAACGGTAAAGGTGGAGAGGTGTTGGGGCCGTCTCGCTAGTGTGGGGTGTACGTGAGTTGTGGGCGGGTGTATAAGCGAGTTGTGGGCGGGTGTATAAGCGAGTTGTGGGCGGGTGTACAAGTGAGTTGTGGGCGGGTGTACAAGTGAGTTGTGGGCGGGTGTACAAGTGAGTTGTGGGCGGGTGTACAAGTGAGTTGTGGGCGGGTGTATAAGCGAGTTGTGGGCGGGTGTAAAGCGAGTTGTGGGGCGGGTGTAAAGCGAGTTCTGGGCGGGTGTATAAGCGAGTTGTGGGCGGGTGTACAAGCGAGTTGTGGGCGGGTGTACAAGTGAGTTGTGGGCGGGTGTACAAGTGAGTTGTGGGCGGGTGTACAAGTGAGTTGTGGGCGGGTGTACAAGTGAGTTGTGGGCGGGTGTACAAGTGAGTTGTGGGCGGGTGTACAAGTGAGTTGTGGGCGGGTGTACAAGTGAGTTGTGGGCGGGTGTACAAGTGAGTTGTGGGCGGGTGTACAAGTGAGTTGTGGGCGGGTGTACAAGAATGTGTTGTGGCCAGTAACTAGACTAGTCCGTCCTCCTAAGGTTTCCCAGCGTCAAGAAAACGGTCAATTTAAAGTGCCCTCTCCTAACCTGCCAGAGAACCCAAAACAGTAAACGGGACAATACGTCACTTTCGCCAGCCGCTTCAATTTTCTAGTACAATTTTTTGGCTTTATGGAACGCATACGAGCGAAAAGCGACGCATTTTTGTAGGCCAGGTTGCAATGACAGGAGAAAGGGTAGGGGAGGCCTTTTTTTGGGGGGGGGGGCTGAATTGAAAGTTGATAAGCAGCATTAATGAGGCTCATTAGAAAATAACACAAGAATTAAGGAAACTGCAGAAGGCCTATTGGCCTATGTGGCAGCTCCTATTTATATTCAACCAAACTTATTCATATGTATGTCTAACTAGCTCTCAATCAAGTGATTCCACGTCGTTGGTGTGTGGATTGTGGATTAGGGTTGAATGCTTGATAATGGTCTAATCGATGGCAAGGCTCCTTCCTTTTCCTGCCTGCTCTACCCAGTGCCTATATCGATGACTGTGAATGGGTGAGACAATGTGAGTAGTGAGTGAGAATGTGTGTGTGTATGTGTACGTACTCTTCTATTCGTGCCTGCGTCTAGATATGCTTGCAGGATCGAGCTAAGCTCCTAGACCCACCTTCTGTAGGTCTTAGACTTAGACAAATGACTCATTTATCACTTTTTTCATATTTACATTTAAAATTGTGAATTGGATTAGATTCGTCGACTTCAACGTCTAATCTATTCAACTTATTGACAGCTCTAACACTGAATTTTATTTTCTGCTGTCTCTTGTGACTCATTTGTGTCTAGTTTCCATCCATATGACCCCCTGTTTGCTGTTCCTAGCTCTAGGCAATTCTGTTGTCTTTGTCAATTTCCCTTAGAATCTTGTATGTTATCATGATGTCCCTCCTATCTCTTCTTTCCTCCAGTTCTCTGGGTCTTTCCTCATAGCTCAATCCCTTCAGCCCAGGAACGAGTCTCGTTGTATATCTTTGGACCTTTATCCTAGTTCTTTTTCAGGTAAAGGTATATAGGGCCCCTTTTCCAAGTTATTGAAGGATACATGGGCGTCGGCCATTAGGCTACAGTGGGCTTCTGGCATCAGTTATATTAATTAATACCCAACCTACACATCTGAAAATGAAAAACCAACGGCGTTTCGGTCCGTCCTGGACCATTATCAGGTCGTGTAATTCTGGCATCAGATTTAGGGTTATGTCTACTCCCAGATGTGTGTGTAATTACCTGGGTGTAGTTGAAGGATGAGCGCTGTGCTCGTGGTGTCCCGTCTTCCCAGCAGACGGGACACTGTGTGTGTGTGTGTGTGTGTGTGTGTGTGTGTGTGTGTGTGTGTGTGTGTGTGTGTGTGTGTGTGTGTGTGTGTGTGTGTGTGTGTGCTCGCTTGCTCGCTCGCTTTAATACATGTACACAGGTGTTAAGTACGGGCTCGCGCACTAGCTTAACAGGTGTGCATGTGTACATGTAATTGAATATTTACATGATCAGATGATCGTACTTAAAACAAATGATAGCGCACATAGTATAATCTAACGCACGTAGATTATAATTATGTGAAATGTTGACTATTGGACACCCCCTTGCCTACCTTGCATTGATTCCGGATGTCAATGCCCCTGCGGTCCGGTCTCTGACCAGGCCTCCTGTTGGTATCCTTTGGAGGTGCTTATCTAGTTCT